TGAATATAAAAGAGAAAAAATATTTGTAAATTAAAGTATCCAAATTCCTAAGTAAAATCAGAGGACTATTCAAAATCCCAGACCTGCAAGAACATCACAGGTCTCTCCTTGGTATTCTAATGTCAGAAAACTTACACTGAAGTTAGTGTCTACTAATTTCTACCTCATCAAAGCATTCTGCTAGGCATAAGAAATTACATTCCAATAAGGCTTCCTTTCCTTTTGTAGAATTGTACATGCCCTAACCAATTTTTTCTTTTGTGGTTATTTTTCAAAGAAAATAATGTACTTACTCCATATTTGTGGCAGTTTGGATGCTTATCTTTCCTTTTAGTTTTGAAATTCTCTTTTGTTGTACTTGTAAATGTAAACAGAGTAGGCAATAGCTGACATCTCTTAACCTACTTTTTAGGATTTGAGGTGGTAATTCCCTTTGCCACTTGTTTATTAGGCATTTTAGCTCAGTAATTTCCAGGCCTACAAAATGGAAGCTCTGCTATTTTGTCTATGTTTTTCCCTTGGAGGAAAAGTGAAGATATACAGAGAATGTATAAATTGGAATTGAAGGTAGTAAACTTATTAAAACTTAGTAAGATATTGTTATGGTCAAAGAAAACCTGCATGTGTCACAAATTCACATCGATGAAACATCTCATTCACTAAAACCTCCTTAGTATAATAATACACAGAAAATTAAACACATAAATATTAATTTTATGTATCACAGAGTACGTAGGCAATGAAAATGCAATGTTTACATTTATGGGTGACTCCTCATTAGTGTTTTATTGTGTGAAACACTAGGAGGCATCAGTTGGGTAAAAAAAGACTTCAATTTTAGAGAAAGCAAGAGATTACTGAAGAATTGGATGTGTAAGAAAGTTGGAGTTTCCAAAATGTCATTTTGTGAAACAAAAGTTTATTCTCTGAAATGCACATCATATTTTGTTGTAAAGAAGGATTTTTAATGTAAAGTTCATGAAATATACAAATATATACACATAATTTGACCAATGAACACCTATTAAGCTATATTTCAGATATATATGATATCATAATTAAATATTTTCACAAAGACTACAGTTGGTAATAGTTGGGCATTACTATTATGCATTTTCTGCTCAATTACTCAAAACTACAAGGATGCTTTATTTCTGGCAAATTCTGCTTTGTATACTTTACCATACTACTGAAAATGTCCAATGAGTTTAAGCCTTATGATAACTACTGCACATAAGCAGACAGCTTGAAGTCTGTTCAAAAAGAAGTGATGGAACTTAAAATTTAAGAGATGAAGAAACGTATAAAGAGCATGCTTTCTCTCGCTGCGCTATTGAAAGTCTATTTTTTGAAAACTGAGTTTTCTACTGTTTGAATGGCTCTTCATAATGATGAAGCAACAGGGCTGTCATATACTTATCTAGCAATCATTTGAAATCCGAGTGCCTTGCCAGTCCTCAGCACTCAGCTTTTATCTTTGACCTATCAGAATGACACGTGAACTGTGTAATCTGCCTTTTGTAAAGTGCACAGACTCCGTTGTTGCTCCTGGTTTTGTGAATCGCCCCTGTAATCTGGTTTGATTTCCTAAAGGTGACAGATCTCAATGAACAGTCAAGCTTAACCGACTGCAAGATAGTCCATGTGTCCAGGAGATTAAGGTGCAGTGTTGAGGATGGGATCATAAAATCACCCCTCTTTGCACATGTAGCACACTCACTGAGCATCGGCCTCTAAAGCCTTTCACTGTCTTCACCATATGTGTAAAAAGAATGTGCACATCTTCAGATATTAACTGGGGAGGCATTTTCTTGGAAAATGAGCTTTTATAAATATAGAGCACATTATTAATACACTCTTTAAGTACATTCCGTGACCCTTAATTTCAGATTGAATTCTTGCATAATTCTTCACTCATGCCCTGGGAACCATGGCTCTCTGTTTAATAACTATTTCTTTGTAGTTTTATAGTACAAGTACTACTGCCCATATATTTACCCCAACTTTGTCACTTTCTGAGATTTCAGGGACTCAAAATATACTACATGTAGAGTTGGGAAATAAAAGCACAAAATATACGACAACAAACAGACGAAAGTTTTAAAGATGATGTTAACCTATGCTAAGGAGTTATTTGGTGCAGTTCATTATAAAAGAAATTTGAATATAATATATCCTTTATTAGAGGATACAGCTGTACTCTTAAGCAATTTATTGATTCAGTAAACTGAGGGCCAGAGAAAAAAATTAATAGATAGCTGAAAAATGCAGGACATAATACTTCTTCAGGATTTAATTTTGAATCATTACAGAGCCTCTTTCCATATTGGAATGAATCATTTCCCCAAAATTTTTCAAAATGAGCTGGCTTACAATGAAAAAAAAGTCATGAAACAAATCCTTTCAATTTAAATTTTATGTGGTTATTTAGTGTTAAGGTGGTCCTATCCAGAAAAGTTAACACCTGTGATTGTACACTTTGCAACTATGATTAGCTCTGGAACATTAAAAAAATTGACTTATTATTTGCTATTTAAGCCAATGTTAATAAAATTAATATTTAATAAGATCGGCACCTTAATATTTATTATTTTTCATTGTATAATTCCATAGCAAGCAGGATGTAAACAGCACACATATGCAAACATTTGACAACTATATGCATTTTATTAATAATTAGTAGATTTTTATAAAAATTACAGCAAAACAAAGTTAATTACCATCTAATATCTCCTCGACTGAAGAACCAAATATTAAACAACTGTTTTGCTTAAAGTGTGTTTTCATGAAAAAATTAAAATTGAATTAGTAGTCTAAGATATAGTTAAATACAGTTTTCTACAAATAGGAAAAAAATTCTCACAGACTTAAAGGTTTTTTTTTTTCCTCTTGAGATAAGGTGTTAAGTAGGGGCATCTCATTTTATCTCTCAAATACTGAATCCATTTGTGTTAGAACTGCTTCATTTGCCTTAATAAATAATTTAATGTATATACTAGAAGACAATAACATAGTTTACTAACTGCATTTTGCCTAAAACGAATATAAAAAATAATTTTGATACATACTGAACATTTTAAGGACTAGCAAAAACTAGTAATATTTAAAAAATTAAAATAGGTACTTTTGTTTCAAATGGCAGATTTCTGGGTCTATTTAAAGCTGAAATCCAAATGCAATACAAGGTTAAACAAGGTTCACAGGTGGTCACATTTCCATGCACTTCCAATCCTCTAAGGAATGAAGTTTTTATACTCCTCATAACATCTTTCCTCTGCAATCACAATTTTATTGCAAGGTGCCAGTGAAGAGTCTGGTCACTTTTGGATTGGTAGATAGATGTGCCTGGAGTTGCCTTTCTAGCACTTAGAAAATATATGCAGCACCTAAGCATTTCATAAGACAGGTACTATTAGAGTTAGTATCAGATTAACAATAGTAAAATGCACTTTGTGTCAAAGCAGTTCTCCATTGAGGACTGGGTATAAAGAACTGGCAGAGAGCCTGATTCTACTTATTATATTGTCAGCATTTACATAGAAAGTATTTTATACAAAAGATTCCCATCCCTAAAATGTGAAGAAGAAAAAAAAGGCTTTTCCTAAGGAAAGATAACTACTGGACCTAGATTAGTCAGAAATAAATAACTCAGACATATAAGGTTTTAAGACTTAATAGCCATGTTCTGGGAAAGTAATAACATCAGCACTGAATTTAAATACTTGTATAATGTGTAATAGTACAATAAGCAACGTGCTGTGCCTGAATATACTTCCTTCATTCCCAACTTTATCACTGAGTTTGGTAACTTTCATCCAAAGTCCAAACAGAAGGCAATTTAAGTATCTTAACATTGTTTGTTTTTAAAGAGCTTTGTATTTGACTTGATCTAAACAACAATGCCAGTGCTGAAATCCAAACATGGATTGTGAAATGTATAGACTACCGAGCCCAGGGTTACTTTTTGTCCACACCAATTAAGAAGCCCTCATTCAAACCAACACTTTGGTGAGGGAAGAAGATGCACAAAGGTAAGACTCTGACAGACAGCCATGCTGCAGCTCAAACTAATCCCAAGAATTAAGAATTAGTGGCTCAGAAGCATAACCCCGGGCAAATCAGTCTTTGGGTGAGGGGGACTCCTGGGAACATCTTTTCACAATGAACTAACTGCTAAATCTTAAGACATCTATTTCAAGGTCACAAAACATTCTGTGAAAAATTGAAATCCACCAAGGCTCCACACTCTCCACCATATCAAACATGCTAATGACGTGAACTAAACTTCATGAAACTTTAAACACACTGTGTGACAGGCACCAGTCAGGAGTGATTTCAATAACTGATGGCAAACGGAGAAGACTGCCTAAAAAGTTACTTTTAGCAACACACAAGGAAATCGTGGAATCTAAGGAAAAAGAATGCACAACGTGCCTCAACTTCAGCCTTCAAAAAAAAGGCACCAGGATGAACCCAATGCCATGGAATATACTGATGCAGCTTTCAGAGACAATACCCAGGCTATTTCTATTTTTACCGAGAAATGTCAGAGGTACTTACATGAAGGAAGACCCGACCAGATTAGTCCTTGGGATATTTTCCTTTCTTAAGAGAAAGGGAGAGAGAGAGAGAAAGGAAAAAAAAACAAAAAACAAAAAACAATAATCTTTACTTTGTCCAGCCTTGAAGTGCTTCTCCACCTGATTCAAACATGCAGTCACGGCGACCCACACTGAACCTTCAAAGTCAATCCAATAGCAGCCCGAAGATGTCTGGGGTGTACGCGTGTGCTCAAGTGTCTGAGACTGCTAAGCAGAGCGAGCTGAGAAAGCTGGAGACGATGTATGCCTGTGTGCGCGCGCGCGCGCGCGCAGGGCGAGCGCGCGCGGAGGGGGGAGGCGCGCGCGGGGCCGCGCATTCGCGCGCGCACCCAGCTCGCTCGGAAGAGGAGGAGGAGGAAGAGGAGGAAGAGGAGGAGAAGGATGAAGGGAAGGAGGAGGAGGAGGAAGAGGAGGAGGAGAAAGTGGCTCTGCAGCCGGTCGGATTAAAAGTAACCAGACTCGTCCAGAAAACTGCGTCCAGGAAGGAAGTGACAGAAGACGAATGGGAAAAGGAGAGCAGCTCACGGCCTTTGAAACATCGCGTAAAAAAAAAAAAAAAAAAGGCGGGGAGGGCGGGGGGCGGAGGGAGATGCCAGGATCCTGGGTGGAGAGGCGGGGGTGGCAAGGCAAACTGAGCTCTCAGGGTTGGAGTTCGAAGCAGCACGTCTGCTAAAGTGTCTTTCCCCTCCCCCCCGCTTTATTTGATCTTGTTCTTGCCTTAGCCTCACGTTGCCTTTTCCCCTCCGTTTCTCGCCCAGCTCTCTGCTTCTCTCTCTCTGTGTCTCTCTCCCATCTACAATCCCCAGCCGTTGAGTCTCTCCTCGGGAGCTGGAGAAATCACCAGTTTCACTCTTGCAAAAGCGGGGCGGGGACTAGACCTCCGGAGCCTTTTAATAAAACAAACATACAGCAGCTTCCCTCCTCACCCCTCCAGTCTCAACTAGATTGATAAATTACTCCACTACACTACTTTAATTATGTATATGGTATGCAGAATAAATCACTGAACATCAGTACCTCAATCAAGCACTTTTAAATGATAATTGCATCTTGGGCGAATCAATCTTTCCATTCCTGACATTTTGCTAATTTTAGTTTTGCGGTGGGGTAATGGCACATGCCATACGCAAACCTAATGACAATTCTTTATTGCACGAAAGGAAAGACAACACGACGAGCCGTGGGCTCCCGGCTTCTCTCCCCGTGCCACCGCAGAGGACGCTCGGGGAGAGCCGGTCTCCGGCTGGCGAGGCGCGCGCGCGCTCGCTCCCCGGGGACGCCGCGAGCCAGCCAGCAGGAAAGTCCTGCAAAAGTCGGGATCTTTCCTCTGACCAATAGGAGCGCGACCCTAACCGTGGCTCGGCGGCTGCCCCCTCCCCCTTCGGATTCGCGTTTGGCTACTCCAGTCTTCCGCCGGTCGGTGCGCGCTTCGGTTACTCACGCGTAAAACCCACCGACCAGGATGTCAGCAGCCCTGGATTCCAGCGGGCTTTTCCTGCGGCACACGCGGCTTTCCCACCCTGAGAGGTTGCAGGGCTAGACAGGGAGCCGGAAGGCTTCTCGAACGTGGAAGTTTGTAGGAAATAATACAAGAATGACTAGCTTTTGAAATCCGGACTTCATTTGCAAGGCCATGAACTTTCTCATCAGTTTGGAAATATTTACCAAGGCAGCAGCTAGCTTCCTCAGAGATTTTCCCCTCCTTTCTCCTACCCTGCGCTCCCCCCACCTCCTTCTCTCTCTTCCACAACTTAACTTCATCCAGGTCATTAACATGTAAACCCAACCAACTTCCCAGAGGCGTTACTGGTGACCTCACTTATGCCGACGACTTTCAGCTACATAAGAAGCAGAATAGGGACTGATAAAGAAGATCATTTGTGTTAAGCTTGAAACATATGAAACATTTTTCTTTAGCAAAAATACAGGTTAACATCCAATTTTTAGAGAAAGATAGCAGGGTCTGGGCACCACCTTGCCCTTTCTGATTACACTACGCCCAAGAAAGTTAAAAATAAAATGTGTTCGTCCATACACAAATGAAGAGACAAGATTCCAGCAAACTATAGATAACATGAAATGTTCAGGCATTTTTTAAAATTTTAATATTGGGAAGGAAAAGGAAAACGAACAAAGGCCAAAATTCTGAGTGCACAAGAGGAGACAGTTCTAGTGTACAGAATGATGTAGCTAATTAAAGAAATCTCCTCACTTAAAAAAATTCCTTTCTGCACTATGTGTTTAGCCCAATGACTAGTTGCATTTCCTGTTAACTTCTTCAGTATGCCTGCAGACAACTATTTTAATACATGAGGGCAGGGTGGTTCTCTAAGCCTCTTGCTTCATTGTGGGGGCTATTTGATGTTAGTAGCTTCTCAACATTCAACCTACCCTCCCAAGCTTCACTTGAAAGGAGAAGGTTGATTTAACAGGCAAGTACAAGTAGATCTGAACAATCTTCACGCTTCTGGCTCATTACCATTGTGACTATTAGTACAGCTAAAAGGAAGATGTCATTTTTATTCTAGAAAAGCAGGGCAAACTGTCACAAGAAAAAGCCATCTGAAATAGTATGCAGATTATTACCTACATTTTGCTTGCCTGTTTGTTTTTCATATGGTAGTTCGCTACTATCATGACTTCATTTTAATAGTATCACAAAGAACATCTATGTCAAGTTTTTATTTAAAGTTACTTCTTAAAAAATCCAGAATTTTAAAGGTACACAGACATTTTGAATACTAATGTTTGTCTATAGTAGTAAATAAAGGAAATTAATTTTGTTTTTTAAAGGTTCACAAATGGTTTGACAAAGCAAACTATTTGAAGAACCATGTGAGTTTATAGCTATAATGTTTAAAATTAATGTAATGAATTGTAATGGCCTATGAGCAAATAGATATGAGCAAATAGATAAAGCTGGTTCATGAATTTCAATCATGTGTTTGGTACATTAAAGAGGGCATGTCTGTTTGTCATAGTGCACTTCTGTTTTAGATTTATTTTTCCTTGAGCCACTTCATTTTACCTTTTCATATTTTAAAGAATCATTTAATGATAAACATAACAAACCCATAGTTATCAATGATAATGGTAGCATTCAAAAGTATATACAACCCCACATTGTGGATAACTTGAAAACAATTTGGATCTGGAATGTATCACAGTTGGTCTTTGAAAATATAAGCTTTTTCCTCTCAGCAGATTTAGCTTCTTAATTACGTGTGACCCAAGTTAATATTAGCATTCGTTTCCTTCCTCAAAACCTTTAATAGTTGAAGGGAAACAGAAGAGGTTATGTAGAAATATACAGTATGCACTCACCTGAAATTTTAAATTTTCATTACTAAGTAGTGAAGTAGTTAACTTAAGAGTTTTTTTTTTAAATGTTCCTCTTTTAAACGACTCCCAACTTGTTATTTATTTATTTTCTTAAATTTACAAAACCATCTTGATCCTTGTCACCTCATATTACTTGGCTAGGATTACAATATTTTCTCATATAGAGAGAGGCTTGTCCTGTGTGTTAGGAAACTCAATTGAGTTCAAGACTTTTGTGGCTGGGACTGTAGCTCAGTGGTAGAGTGATTGCCTAGTGTATTAAAGGGCCTAGATTCAATCAGCAACACTGCAAAGACTTTAAAAATCCTAAGTCTTGCTGTTGGATGTGTACTTTCTAGGATTTTGTTAGCTTACAGTTTAGATGAATTCTCCAAACTCTTCTAGGTCTATGCTTGCAAATTAAACAGTAAAGAAAAGATTGTACCATTTAAGCCAATTAGATTATAGAGGTCTAACCTGTTAAATAAAAGGTGATTTTTCTTTAACAAAATATTGACATGTGGGATCGATATACTATTTAATAAACCAGCTTTATGTATTTATAGGGGCTAATCACCAAATAGTCCTTTCATTAAATAATTAACGTGTTTTATTTCAGTGCAAGTTTACATTGTTTTTCCCCCCAAAGAATTATACTTAGCAATATGTTTAATTAAAATGCCAAGGAAATTAAAGAGTGTGTGATATTTGGAATTTCTGAATGTAAGGAAAGCTAATATTTCAATCTCCCATCAGTTGCCTACCATCTTACACCACCCCCCCTCCTCACTATTTCCCTACATTAAAGCAGCAGTCTACTAAAGCCCTGTGCACTGGGTCTGCCTGCTTTTAAGCCTGGCCCACGCTGGGTGTAGCTCTTGAAGTGAGCTTTAAAAAATTATTTTAAAGTGAACTGGGGCGGTTGCTACAGCAACCCACCCTGAGATGAAGAAAGGCCATGGATTAATTTACCCCTCAAGATTATTCAACTCTATAGTATTTGTTCTTCAGTCAGAACTTGGAACATAAACATGATAATTGAATATGGAAGTTCAGAAGACTCTAAAACCATAGTAGGATGTAACTTCCATAGCATGAAACATACTCTGATTTTTTTGTAGTTGGATAATATACATGACTCCTTGTGAAATGAATTAATTGTAATGAATACTTGGAAGGTAACCCCTGAAATGTGATGTGAGTTTTCAACAAAATGGCATTGCATTGCTTATAATAGAAAATAGAATATGGCTATTTAAATCATTATCGAGAATATATGTATAAATATGAGAAAGATAATGATTTAAATAGCCATAAGGACAAAGAATTTGGCAATTGTACCTTTGTGATAACTTTGTGGTAATGATAAAAGAAATGTGGGCACTCACCACATACACTTCACCCCCACAGTCATTTGCCTTCCATTCTTTACTTCATCTCCTCATAGAAGTTACTTCACAGTTTGCAGCTCTTCTTTGGCACCTGAACAGGAGTAAAATATAAGAAGTATATAGTAATTTTTTAAAAGGTGACATCAAAGTACATTAGATTTCTTTCTAAAATTTCTAAAGCAATAATACGGACTTTAAACAAAAACATGTACTGGCTAGGAAAAGGCCTTCCATGACCATTTGTGATAAAAGCTTGTTAAAAGAAACAGCGTATACCACAAATGCAAACTGCAAAAATTCAGTAGGGACAGTGACATTTGTTAGGCACTCAAACAATCAGAATACACAACACATGAACTGATTGTGATTAAGAATCTACAATATACAAAGTATTTGCTATTTCAGGGCAAGGTTTAAATCATTTTCTTTATCTCATGTATAATGACCTTACATTTGTCTTTATTTTCATGCTTTACGTTTATATCTGCTTAAGAATTACAAGCAAAAAAGTCAAATACATAACTTATCAAGCTAATAAGATTTGTTAAATTGGGAGGTGTTTATAATGCAACTTTAAGTTTCTGTCTAGGCTCATTTTATATATTATTTTAAGGCCACTTTAAGATATTTTGGGGCTAATGATGTGGATTTAGGAACATTTATGAATTCTATTACTAATAACATCCTACCAAGCAGTGTTTAGCTGTATGGAACACAGACAAATGCTCTTATGTTCTAATCTCTGTGTTAGACTGGCTTTCCATTACTTAGAGTACAAAAATGAACCCTTCCTTGGCATCAGAATGGGACTAGTCCTAGTAAAAGAGCCGACTGTGCGACCTGTTGGAGCACAAGGTCAATATCCATTTTTCCATTCATAACATGATTTTTCATAGCTTTATAAGAGGACTTTATATAAAGTCTCTTTATTATGGTTTTTATTGTATATTGATTGTGTGTTTTTTTTATTATGTTAGGTCAAAACTAAGAAAAAATAAAGAATTTGGGTCAGCTTTAAGGGATTACTTATGTTGGTTGAATTTCGTCTTTTACATACAGGCCCTGAGTGCATTTCTTTAAACTTGATCTAGTGGTAAGTACTAACTTTCCTGTCCAATTCCTTTCTCCTGTTCTGCTTGTTTTTACAGTCTTTTATTAAAGCGAAAATCATGATACGTATCTCCCAGGGCCTTTTCAGAGTACAGAAATACAATCTTCATGAAATAATGTATGAAAGGTATTTCAGGACTTTCAAAAATCCCACTACAAATTATGATATATTTCCTATATTAGTAAACCCAGATTAGGCTTGATTAGTAATTTGCTTGCAAGTTTGTGGTTGATTTAAAAGCACTCACATACATAGCTTAATATAATGGGACTTTGCACTTCACTTACAAAATTGTTAAATGTTTCTTTTGGAAATTGATTCTACTGCATTTCAATAGAACCATTCCATCTGATTTTATTTCACAGAAACAAATTTAAGGAATGAATATTCACACTTGCCCCTTTGAACTGTTTTTTTTTTTCTAGACACCTTACAATATTAGTGTTTTAAACAGTCTTGACCAGGGGTCTGGGTGGAAGTGTTGGGTTAAAAATCTCTTCAAAAGAGCAGCAGCAGTGGAGGTCACTGGACACTGATTTGAAAACACACATACACACACACACACACACACACACAAATGTCTTAAAACGTTTTGGTACCCACTTCTTTGGGAAGCAGAAGACTGGGATTCAGTTTGCATAGCCCCTTTAAAGACCAGACAAGCCAGGGACACCTCTGGTTTTAGCAACACCCTCTGCTAAGTTACTGATTTCAGGCAGCATCAACACATCCTCTGGTTGATTTGTGTGGAAAGTGAATCCGCTCTGGCTGGGCGCTCCAGAGGGGCGCATCAGCCACACAGGAACTAAGTTATTGCGGTCCTGCCCTCCAGCTCTGCTCTCACCACCTAGGTACTATTCTCTGCCCTCGGCTACTTCCTCCCACTCGCTTTTCTCCGGATGGATGGGGCTGAGTGGGCGGGGGCTCTTTCCCCAGGGACTTTCTAGAGCTCTGAGGCTGCTAAAAGGGGGTGAGTCCGCCTCGTGCATGCGCCACGGGCGAGGAGGAGGCGGGCTCTGGCTCTCCTGGGGGACCTGCTGGGCCTGGGTGCGCAGAGGGGGCGGCCACGCTGTCTTGGCGCGGGACAGGGAAGGAAGTGCCGGCTTGCTTGTGGTTGTAGGGCGGGGGTGGGTGGGAATTGCGTGGTGTAAGGCAGGGAAGCGGGGCGGAGAGACTGCTGGCGGGTTGATGAAGAGGGTGAGTGGTGGCTAGAGCAGCGAGTGCGCTTAAGAAGCATGCAGTGACAGCATTGGGGGATTTTCCCTGATGGTTCCATTTGGGGATCGCAGTCTTACACCTTCTAGGTTAAAGAAGGAAGATCCCAGAGAGCTGGAGATGAGATCCAAATGACCTCCATAAACATGAGGGGGTAAAGTAAAATGAGCCCACCCATGCAGAGCGCACAAAGCTTTGGCAGCTCCCCGAAGCCCTCCAAGCATTTGCTATCTTGGGAGGGCCAGAGTGGTTCCTGAAAGTTCCATTGGTGCTTCTGACAGTCAATCAGGATGGTTTTTTTTGGGGGGTGGGGGAGAAAGAGGTGAAGTGGGGTGGGTATTTGGATGTGGCTCAAGGGTGCTGTCACTAAGCTTTTTTGATCAAGGCTTTTACTCTAGTACTTGATTCACAGCTCCATTACCAGCCTTTAGCTGGTTATTTGGAGATAAAAGTCTTACCAACTACACTTCCGGAGCTAACTTCAAACCCCCATCCTCTTATCTCAGCTTCCTGAGCAGCTAAGATTACATCTAGACACCAGCGATCTATTTATTTTTATTTATTTATTTTTAAACCCCACAGACCAATAAGAAAGAATGAGTGGTCCAGCGCTGGATGTTAAAGCTTAGGCTGTCCAAATATTTCATAAAAACTAGAAGCCAACCACTGCCTTTTGTAGTTAATCTGTGTTGCTGGCTGTGTGCAAGAAAGGCCACAGAATAGAATTTTTAGCTTTCAAACCAAGCGATTTTTTTTTCTTTTTGCGTCTTGCAAAATATTCCTTTGTTGTCATATGGGAACAGTGTTGGGTCAGAGCTGGGAATGTGGCTTATTGGTAGAGTGCTTGCTTAGCACTCAGGAAGTCCTGGGTTCCATTCCTGAATACCACATAAACAGAAAAAGCCAGAAGTGGCACTGTGGCTCAAGTGGTAGAGTGCTAGCCTTGAGCAAAAGAAGCTCAGAGACAGTGTCCAAGCCCTAAATTCAAGCCCCAAGACTGGCCAAGAAAAAAAAAAATGTTGGGTCTTGTGCAAAAGTGCCATCATGAAATACAAATCTCTGATGTTTATTTGGGGTGTGAATGGAGCACCAAGCAATGGTGGAAAGAGCAATGATCCCAAAGCATGGTAAAGCAGATGGTAGCAACTTGATACTTGTGACTATGTAATTAAAATGAAATAAAGCACAGTTATAGTAGCCATGTTTCAAACACTCAGTAGCCACATATTGGAGATTGTGATCTTCCCATCGTTAGTTGAAATTATCTTGGGAGTGCTGCTGTTATTTAAAGTGAATGTTGGCAAAGGGAAAAAAAAGAAAGAAAAAGCTTGGGTTGAAATAAAAAGGAAAAATTACATGTTTACATGCCTCTTACATGACACTAGCATGACATGTTTAAAAATGAGAATGTCTGCATCTTCCTGTTGAAAAATATTCTGGGGAACACCACACTCATATTTTCTTTAAAGTGAGGAAGACAAATCAAGCCCAGAGAAGCTAAGTGATTCCCCAAATCATGCCATAAACTTGGAAAGAAGATTAAACCACCTGACAATGTCTAGTATATGGTGCCAGACCAGGATACCTTGCCTAGACTTAGGTAGGTAAATTACCTTTATAGAAAGTGACCTGACAGATTTTAGGCATGGATACTTTTTTTTTTTTTAACAAAACATTGTTAAAGCGGTCATCTAGAAAAAAATT